GGTGGTAAAAAGATGCAGATCTACTGCAGAAATCAAGAAAAGAAACTTGTTCAATAATTCAACGAAATTTAATAGTTATAATGCGATATTGCACACAAAAAAAAAAGCACCATTTTACTAAGATTGTATCATCGATTTTTCCCAGCATCCAATGCTTACGGTACATAGTTCAAAGTATTCCTAGAAGCAATCATTTTGTCAGTAAACTGGGAATAAGTAGCAGGGAATAAGTAATAGTCACAATTGATGTATAAAATATTATCATGTATATTTTAAGCAGTAAATGAAATTTTTAGAAGAAAAAAATATATAAGAAGCGTTTGATTTGTTAGGTTAATAACGACCACGACTCCTGCTTCGACTGCGACTTCTGGAACGACTTCTTACAGAATAGCTTCTGCTACGACTTCTCGAGTATGGTGATCTAGATCTGCTCCTAGAGCTGTAAGAATCACTATAAGAATAGGAACGTCTACGACGTATAGGGGATCTAGATCGTGATCTTGAATAGCGTCGTAGCGGGGACCTTCCGCGAGCACGGTAGCTGCTCGCCGCAAAACGTCGAGGTGGAGGGGGTGGAGAGTTGTACCTTCCACCTATATTAGAATTGTTGAGCCATAAGTTAGATCATAACTAAAGCGAGTCTACTTCAATGTATTTATTAAGTAATACCTCTACGTCTAGGTGGCGGTGGTGTGGGTGGCCGACGTGGAACAAATGTGCAAGTGAGCACCGCACCATCAAGTTGCCCCTTTAACAAACAAAATCGAAGAGATTGAATAAATTAGATGAAATTTATTTACAAATACATACAACTGCAATAAAACTTACACCATCCATATAACTTATAGCCCTTTCTGCTTCGGCCCTGGTATCAAAATCAATAAAGGCCGAACCCTTGTTCATTTGCCCTAAGGAACAATATTAAGATCCAGCCATATTCGTTCTTTTTCGATTGTCAAATAATGCAAAAAATACTTACATTTTTCATCTAATGCCATTTCAACGCTTCTGATTCGTCCGAACGTACCGAAGATTTCCTGTAAGTGAGAATCAGTGACATTTTTTGTCAGTTTGTTGACTTGAATTTTCGTAGGAAGCGGTGACAGAGAACGTCTTCTACGAGAGTATGGCGAACGAGAACGGCTACGTGAGTAGGATAAAGAGCGCGACCGACTCCTGCTATAAGAACGAGAACGACTTCTGGAAGAGTAAGAGTAGGAACGGCTTCTAGAACGTGATAAGGAGCGCGGTGAACGACTACGTGAACGGCTACGACTTCCTGTGTAAGAGTTTGTCCTAGCCCTACAAAGCAAACGTATTGAGGCGCGAAGCATTCACGAAGTAAGATGCCATGGAAAAAACTTACATTAGAAGTATTTAAAAAAAAAATTCGTACACGTGTGAGTAAGCGCTTTATGATTATAAGTTAAAAAAATTTGTATGATAGTATCCCTCTTCGAAGCATTCTTATTGATGTGAGGATGTTCCGCACGTGATATTGAAATTTGATAATCACGTTATAAAGTCTCGATTTGTGAAAAGTTCTTGATTTATCACGACGTTTCTTGACGACAAATGGAACAAATGGCTCTTCAACCAATATTTTATCGTGGGTGTTTTTGCAATTTCCTGAACTTAAGTTCATTTATATCACTTTAACCTTAAGTATATATATTTATTCATAGTCAAGAAGGACTTGATGCGTCTATAGAATTTACCCAAGGTATTCTCGGGTTGCATCTATTATTGATCTTAATTCTAACGCTAACTTATCAGGAATGAAACGCCGAGCCGCAATGACATGGATAGACAAGAACAGTTGTTAATTCCACAATACAAATACAAATGGATGTCGAAATTATGGCAGATGGTATAGCGAAATGTTTTAATTTTCGCCATTGCACTCAAATTGGCGTGTTGCAAAATTATTTTCGTCTGTCGAAATTATTGTTGACTGTCGAAAATCTTATAACTCTCAAGTATTATGATAGACTGTCAAAATGATTTATGGCAGTCGTTATTAGGATCGTGAAATGTAAAATTCAGAAATAATCCGAAAGAAAATGAAAGACGAGAAGATGGTTGGCTGATGTCCGGGTAACTTATTTATAACTTTCTGATAACGTAACATTTCACTAATAAAAAATACAATCTTTTTTTACCGTTATCTTCGCAAGAGCGTGAATATTCATGGTACAAAATAATAGAGAACTTCGCTTAGAAGACAAAATGTACCTATCGTTTATTGGATCATATCAAATTATATTATTGCAACTAGAAACGTTTTTGTCTAAAGCTATTTTATTACGTTAAATGTTTATCGCTAACTTAATTTGAATAGGTACAAGCTCTTTAGTAGTAGTTTCTTGTAATGTGTTTGGGTTTGTCAATTAAAGCTCTTTAATGAGTTTGGGTTTATTAGTAATAAATATAACATTTACCCACTTTACGCGTGTCTATTCTCTAGATATATGTGATAAATTCTTTAGTGTATGTTTATCGATTTATATCTGATATATCTGATCTGTGATAAAGTTTTTTTCGTTTTTTTTACGATAAATTTTAAAAATTATGTATTTTGATTGGTTAATTATCACGGGAAATCTACGGTAGATCTACAAAAAATGGCATTTAATTTTCGACATAGCAGAAATATTTTCGGCATACTCAAATATTTTCTACATAATTATTTACGATTTTGACTGTCAAAAATCATTTTCGCCATTTAAATTTACGTCAAGGCAAAATATTTTCGACACCCATGTATAAATACAAAGATATCACATCTTTCTTAGACGAAGTTGTGGATGGTACTGTTTAGTTCTTCATCTGACCAATTGCCTCTGAATTTGTATAAATTCTTTATAAAGCTTGCATTTTGTCTCTTTGTAAAGAATAGAATTTGAAATCGGTCAACTCGTTCATCTTGAATCATTTGGATTGTATGATGCGATGAGTTCAATCGAGGTTTATATATGCGGGCTTTATTCATTTACATTTTGAATAAGTACTGTACTTGACCTATATGACATTTTAGATCATGGACCCAAAAATGGATAGTGGAATGATACTTGATAGTGATTTGAACAAAAAGCCATTCGAATTAAAAGCTCGATTAAAACCTGAACAAGTTCTTTGGATTATGGATCGATTATTTATTTGTGAGGTAGTTTTATTATTTAAACTTTATTTTTATTTATAAACAATGTTTACCATTATTTTATTTCTTAGATGACATGGCACACTGGCCATTCTCTGTCTCAAACTTTGTTTACTTGCATGTATCTGCATTACGTTCCAGAACTTGTGCCGGAATTGTTTTCAAGTACTACAGATGCTAGTAATGATACTACAGATGCTTGTAATGATACTACAGATGCTTGTAATGATATAACCGATCAAAAGACAGAAGCACCTATAGAATTTGTTATACTAGTTCTTAAAGCATATGTTATGGGCACTGTTAAATGTTGTCAGTTAGTTTTGGATGAAATGGCAAAAGGAAACGTGTATGAAGTAAGATTTTTAATATACTCTACAATAGGTTTTATAATTGCTGGTAGTTAAGACAACATCCACTACTTTCATTAAGGAAGAAGATTTTGCAACAAATAAATATGGAATTTCGATATACGAAGATTTCCCAGAATCACAAGCCATAAAATTGTTAGATGATGCTGAGACTTGGCTAGAACAGCATGGTGGACCATGGATTCGATCGCATGGTAAATAATTCGGGTTAACCTTTGTATTAAGGTGTTGGATCATCATATATGTAATTTAATTTGTATTAGGATATGAAAAAAGTGAAAATATTATTCATGCAATGATAACTAGACTTAATCTACGAAAGGCAAGTTTTTTTATTTTATCCTTTTTTTTTTTTTTTTTAATATAAATTTTCGAATTCAACTAACCTAATTATTATACAGTCCTTTCTTCTAATCCTCATGCATATGTCGCAACCGCGCTGCCAGCAATATGAACAGGCTCAAAATCAAATTGAGGTTGCAATGAAATTACTGAATGGTTCCAAAGGTGAAATTAATATAAATAATACGCTAGATTTAGGGATTGAAGTCGAAGGAGGTAGTATTTTCTTATGAAATGTTTATATTGTTTTCTACGATATCATATTTTTATAGCCTTACTATATTACTTATTAATCAGCTTTTGATCCTTTGATCAATCGTAAACTAATATCACAAACACCCCCACGACCAATTCGGCTTTTGTCAATACAGGAGGTAATGTTATAGTAATCACTATTATTGTTATCGTTATCACCAATCTAATTACATACCGTGCTCCGATTAATTTAGTCTGTCGACGAAATGTTGAATATGTTTAAGAGTCTTAACTCGATATGTGAAATAATCGATTACAAATCGGCAACCAGCTTAACGGTAGGTACTATGGTGATCTTTTTTCACAAAGTTCATTTAATAACTCTTTTTCCTTAGAAATTTTTGATATACCACGCTGCGCAGCGGCCACCACCTTGCGCTTTTTCAAGGTCGTTATTACAGGTATTCAAACGCATCTTGTAATCGTTGTTTGTTATGATGCCGTTGCTTGAGATTAATCTATTTATTATCTCACTTCAGTCAACTGTTTGTACCGATAATCGTATCCTTGGTAAAATATCGTTATTTCAATTGGTGAAAGATTCTGTAACAGAATTGACGAATCCACCATACATTTATTTCACATCAAAAAACGAATTGGACGTATTGTCTAATGGCGAACGTATTGATGAAGCAAAATATAAAATATCGAGGCTGACACATACATTTGTTGATAGTACTATGAAGGTAATTATTTCTTTTAATAAGTGTCAAATTAATCACACTATTATAAAATATTGACAATCAATTCAAGCCATTGACAGACTATTTTCGGATTTTATGTCATAATCGTTCAAGACAACGACGGAATATGTGCAAAGTGCTCGCGGATTGGGACTTGTTGCAAGAAGAGGTAATCAAATTACACATGCTACAATTTCATTTTAAATGCTAAAATCATTTATTTATAAGTATATTTATGTGTTTCATTCATCAGTCAGAGCACATAGATATTGAATTACAATCAATAATCAAAGAAGAACCGTTGAAGACCGATGTAGGTAAAAGTGTGCGCTGATAATTTATGTAACAAGGTCAATTAATCAACATTTCCTTAGGAAGGGCAATCATATTCTTTTCATCTTTCTTCATGGGTTTACCATCACAAATTGATGCTGATGGAAGAAATTTTATTCCTTGGATTTGAGCTGGAATTATACGGGAGTCATGAATTTGTAATGATATATTGGTAAGTTTTAAGTCGTATATTTTTTACATTATTATTATTAATTATGTTCAAATTTAAATAATTTTCATCTGTAGGTATCTTGATTATTTATTAGGTGTTCATTATCAACACCTAGAAAGGATACATTTGCATGCAACAGGTAAAATTGATGGAATTTCTATAATTATGTTAAGATATCTTTCGAATTGTTCTTATATTTTATTTTAGACGATAAAAAGTTCAAAAAACAAAAGAGCCTTCAGTCTGCACCCTCTTCATTATCATCTGTGTCATTAATAATAAGTTGTCAGACATTTGTTGTGGCACGGCAAGATATATGTCGTGGGATTCACAGGGTAAAGATAATTTGTTTAAAGAGGTCTTCATAATTTGATTGAGTTCAATAAATGTACATATCTTAACTACTCTTCTTATTCGCACTAATAAGATCATAACTGCGCTCCAAAAAACAGGGCACTTTAAACCACCTCAATTCGAATTTGATGATGAAAGTACGCGTTTTTGGCATAGATTTAAGGTGTACCGAACATTAGGAAGCCCAACGATGTTAACTTTCCAAGAACTCAAGGAGATGACACAGTTAGACAATATTACGGTATACATTCACTTTAAGATTGATGAAATGAATCATCTATTTAGTTGGAGATATTCTATAGTTTAAACTTTTAATATCTAAATGTTTTATACAGACACTTGACCTTTTTAATGTGTCTCTTCGGAATTTCCAGTCAGCAAGAACTTCGATAGAAAGTTTACTTTCTATGAAGCCTTCCGACACCAGGATGGAATATTGCCATGCAGAATTCATAAAAGTATGGATTCTATTTCATAAACTCTAACCAAGTTACTTAAAATTTGGATTAATGACAATATTTCGTTCTCATAATAAAGGATCTCCGGGCCATGCTTGCCGTATGCATTGCAAATATCATAAATTTGCTAAAGATTATAGATGAATTTAAATCGATCAATGAATCAAATAAAAATGATGATAGCGAATCAAAAAAGAAAGGACGTAAACAACAAAAGCAACGACAACAAAAGAATCGACAACAATCTTTGGCGATGTCCACAACAGCATCGACACCGTCACAATCACAAAATATTGCGATTAATAAAGTAGTTAATTTTGAGTTTAAATATCATCCATGGTTTCCAGTGATCTCCTTGAAATGATAGTACGAGTTTATTTTAAAAGTTTAGAAATTATTTATTTTTGGTGTTTATAGATAAATTACATATGAAAAGTGCAGACTTCAAAAGTATATTAGATATATATGAATATGTGTATATATTACTATTCTTTCAGATGGCTTTCGATAATTTTGTGATGAATCAAATGCTAATATACAGTACATATATATAAATTAAGATAACAAATCTACAAATTTGGGGTAGTGATTTAACTTGTGTCAACACATGATTTATGAATTAAACTTAGGGTGCTCTCAAGCATCTTTCTCAGTGTAATTAGAGATCGTGCACAATTACTACGATTAATTGAAGTAATCCTTATGGTAATTTCGTCGAAGATTCATGCTGCGGAATGCGGATGTTAAATTTTAGCCAATCAGCACAACTTTGAAAAAAAAATATGGTCTCTGACTCTTTTTTCATCGTGATAATGAAATAATTTATTTTCCATTAGACCTATTAATTTGATGCTTGAGAACACCCTTAAAGTACTCGAATTACTTAGTTAATTTATTTACAAAATCAAGTACGACATATAAAGACGTTACGAAAATTTCATAACGATAAATTAGCTAAATATTAAATATATTAGATATATAAACGCGCGAATTTTTTTTACATTTGTTTTTTTCGCTGTTTGTCTGTACTTTTGTTTCGGTTTCTATATACTGTAATCGCATTTTTAGCTTCTTGTTTGTAAAGTATACTTTTTTATTTACAAATTATCCTTAAATCATCGTTTTCTTTATACTTATTTGGAATTTTTTTTATGATTTATAACGAATATTATGAATATAAAGCCTTTCTTATTATATGATCTTGCGACAAGAATAAGTGCTAATGAGACTTAAAAGGGCCATAAGAGAAAAGAGTATAACGTTCTTAATCAGTGGTTTTATCAAAATTCATATGTCGCAGAAACTTGGAATTCTCAGATCGTTGACTTTTTCATTTCGCAGGAGCGATTGTCGAATCTAAGGGGGTTTAATTTACCTAAGATCGCAATATAGATGGCAGCCCATCTTTACCAACTTGCTCTAAGTGCCACTGTCCAATAATTTCTCTCATTCATGTTGGGCTTAGAATCCACTAACAAATTGTTCGAACTTTCATATGGACGAGATGACCCTTAGGCAATGGTATTTTGATCAAAGGAACAGAAGGCTTGCTTCACTATGCTGTTACGGGGTGAATCGTAAGTTTAATTAGTGTAAACACGAAAATATAGAATTTATGTGATATAAGGCATTCGACAGAGGCGTAACGATGGTGATTTGACAATAGTTTATTTTATTAAATGAGTTTTGACCAGGTGATTTATTAAATGTATTAGAAAGAGGCTATTAGAATCCCGTAGGATATGTTTTGAGAAGATCGAAATGTCTGAGCTTTTATAGCTTCAGCGAATGTAAAGGGTTCAAAAGGCTTAGGGGTGACTTATATATTACATTATTAACGAATTTAAGGGAACTAATACTAAGCTAAGGGGTTTACAATGATAATTTACAACATTATTATTGAAACAAAGAAGGCTTTGCTTCGCTCTTACAATCATTTACTTACAGCCACTTCAACTATATCTAATTCTTTGTTATTTGGTCTTCTTTCATTTCTTCTTATGCACTTCTTGTTCTTTGGATTTTGCGTTGGTTATTGTTTATCATATTTGGCTGATAAGCCTCAACTGACAAACCAGTATTTCTTGAATTACTTTGCTTCAATTACAGGTTTGCTGTGCCTAATTTTGTAGATTCTTCATTTTTAGCCTGTGACATTCGCCCAACCTTATTTTATGCATACTAGGCATAAATTGGTACAATAAATCTTTAATAAATTAATAAAGTTAATAATATTTAAACACAAAAAAAAATAAAAATTCTTATTCTGGTATATCATCCTTAAGAGGTCATGTTATATCCCTGGTCATTAGAAAGGCATTAGCTCACTTATAACAAGTTTCGAATCCTAATCCTTTTGATCAACAGATAAGCATTCTAACTTATTTGTTCATATTAGAATAATTATTAATTTTGAAAATCTAACTCCTTAAGTTTGTAATTTGTACAACTTAATAATCTAATAAAAGAATTTCTTAAAATCTTATTTACAAGATCTAAAAAAAATTGACTTTTAGTGATAATGCTTCGAAAATTTAAAAAACAATATAGACATCCTAAAAGACAAAGATATATATAAATTAATAATAATATATATATAAAAAAA